TAGTAGTCCCTCATCTATCACAGAGTTTAGGAGACCACGCCCCCCGCAATAAGTGAAAAACCATGAAGTAGGGATACATTAGTCCAAGTTCAACTCCCAATCTCAGAGTCAGTCAGAGTCAGAGTTTCTTTATTAGTCATTTGCACCACATGTGGTACATGTAGTGGAACGAAATTTTTTACACAGGGTCCCAGTTACACCCGACAATAAAATGTAAAAGAAAAACAGTAAGAAGATCTAAGATATGAACTAAGAAAAACGTTAAATAGAAATACACTAAGTGCTAAAAATAGAAAAACTATATAAACAATACGCTGCATAACAGCACGAACATGAGTCTGTGTGAGCAGATGAGCACGCATGAATACAGCAAAATGAAACAGATCAGCAGCATCATGATGTGATTTTTCACAGTGATCATCCTGGTTAGATATTCATGAGTTTAACAGTATCAGGGTTGAAGCTGTTTCTCAGTCTAGTGGTTCTACACTTAATGCTCCTTAACCTCCTGCCTGAGGGGAGCGGGGCAAAAAGTGTGTGTGCTGGGTGAGTGGGGTCCTTTATGATGCAAGTGGCCCTCTTCCTGCATCTGGAGGTGTAGATGTCTGTGATGGTGGAGAGGCTGACTCCCAACAGACTTCTTTCCCTCCTTCTGTGTAGAGAAGAGAATTCAACAAGACAGCAAAGGGTTAACCCTTCATGCAGTTGATGCAACACAAAGCAGAAATGTGTGTGTGACAGAAAGCCGCAGGTGGCAGAGAGGAGATCATGACAGGCTGCAGAGGGAGCTTCTCCCTGCAGCTGTGGGCTGCACAATGGTGCAGCAGGTGATAAATCATTTAAAAATCATTTGTTTTAAATTAACAATTCATGCCGCTCGTGCGGCTCATCCATCAATCAGCCAATTGTGTGTCATGTCCACTCTTTGAAAAACCGCAAAAGAGCAAGTCTGCGAAAGTTGAACCACAAAGTAGCGAGGGACTACTGTATATATAATCACTGAATTTGGACTCTTAAGAGTAGAGATGTCTACTGATGTTTCTGTGTAAATATTCCACAATTTAACATTATTCGACAAAAATCATTTACCAAATATAGTGACATTGTGATATATATGGGTATTACCTATTCAAGTTTATATATGTAACTATATATTTTTTTATTTGGATGATTGTTCTACCAGCATATCGGTCATCTCATCCATCTTTAACAGAGATACTGAATTTCTCATGGGAAAGATTGTGCCAGTGTGTGATCTGTCTAGACACTGTGGTTCATGGCGTGCATTTTTAAAGACAGTGTACATTAGCTGGACCAGTGCGGCACGCAAAGAAGGAAACCAGGTGAAAGCACAGCAACAAGTTGAAACAGCACTAAATAAATGGTCTCCCTCTGACATGAATGTAGGCTTTTGGCTGAGGGAAGTGGAGCAAACTTGATTTACAACACTGCCCCACAGAACATGTGGGGATTCGGTTCAGAAAGAGTACACCCATACGCACAAACACAAACGCATTGTGCAATTAGGAGATTAGTTGAACACATTTTCTTAATGTATTATGCTGAAACACTATATTGGGGCTCCAAAGTGCGAGGTAAAGAAATAAATATAACCTACTTGTGTCTGACGCTAATGATGGGATTTTGTTCACGTCAACAATGCAGCAACAAGTCTGGACCAAACTTTCTTTCTTGAACAAGCCAGACAGCTATCGGTTACACCTCCAGCTCACACAGCCTCTGACTCTCCCCTAAGTTTCCCACCACCTGAGAGGAAATTTCCTGCCCCTAATCTGAGGCGTGCAGTTTCTTTTATCTTGGCGAAAGCTATTTAAACAGCCTTGTTGTGTGCCTGACCTCCCCTCTTTGTTTGTGTGAAGACACTGGTCCAGTCCAGATGTCAGCATCTTTGTCCTTTCAGCCAAATAAACCACTCTGACACCTGTGGATCGCATTATGTTTGGTAGCAGACATCATTTCTGAGCTGGTTGTGTGCACAGGCCAGTTTATGCGCTGCAAAGGGGAAAGCTGAGCTGAGCGAGGAGCATGAAAGCTTTAGTGACTGCATTCGGATCTGCTGGATGTACAGGCACGCATTCAAGGGTCCAGCAGAAAAGAGAAGTTGACAGTGAGGTGGGGTGTATTTGAAATCCGTGTGTGTGACTGGAGGACACTGTAAAAATGCCTGCTTCTATCTATGGGGTGTATTGTAAGTGCTGACAGCCCTGTCCGTGTTTCATTGTGCAGAGAAAGTGGGATTCCCACGGGGCCCAGCCCGTCTAGCCATAGAGAACAAGCTACCTCCCTCCCCTCACACTTAAGCTCTAGCCCCTCCA